TGCTGAGGCCGCGTCCCACATACAGCAACTAGAAGGATGTGCAACTATGACATGCAACTATCTACTGGGGCTTTGGGGAAAAATAAAAAAAGGAGGAGGACTGACAATAGATGTTAGCTCAGAGCTGGTCTTCCTCAGCAAAAAGAGGAGGATTAGCACGGATGTTAGCTCAAGGCTGATCTCCCTCACACACACACACAAAAAATGTATTTTTCTCTAGCTCTCAAGACTTTAATTTTATTAGATTAGCTATCTTATCTTTGTGCCCAAGAAGGATTTCTAACAGGAAATAAACTTTTGAGATATGGTAATTTTTCCTCCGGGCTGAAAAAGGAATTTGGGGTGTAGATTTGTTTATTGTGTTGCTCCTGTGTCTCTGCTGCTTTGCTTCAGTAACAAGATTGTCACGTTAGCACCAAAAACAGCACTCCATCTTCCCTCTTTCCCCGCTTGGTAAAGAATTGCACCAGTGACCCTCTTTCCCCAGAAAAATCTTTTTTATGAACTTTTTTAAAAAATCAAATATTTCTTTAAAAATTATATAAGAATCTTAAAATTTAATTATTGTCATCCTCTGAGTTTGGATAGATTGATTGCAATTAAATATTTATATAACATATGTCTAGACCACTAAAGGCACTTAGAATGCTAATTAATAGGATAACTTATTTTAGATTTTTAGATTAAATGCCAGAAATGCACTGACTGGTGAAGAATTAAAGAACTGTGAAAAGCATACAATTTATCTCTTAGTGGAATGATACATTGCTACCAGTCTACTGGCTATATATTCAGATTTAATCTGTGACTTGATCAGAACACACTCTTTATAGTTTGTGTAAAGAAGCTTGCTGTCAAGTCTATTCTTTATATTTTATTGCATTTTTTAAAACATCCATTTTGTAGTTAATTGTATTTTAAAAATTGAGGTGGTGAATGTTCATTTTCGTATAACAACATTGCTTACTAAAGTGCATTTAAAATAACAGATAATTTCTTTGAATTGATTCCTTTTCCCATTAAGACGGTTATTTGAAGATAAAAATGCTTTGAAAAACCTTAATGATATCAATATCAAAAAGAGTAGCAGGAAGCACTTTTGCTGCTTCAAAACATTTATCTTATAACCTGTTTTCACACTACTTTAAGATTGTGGCATAAGGATTAACAAAATCCAGTTCTTAAAATTATTGATGGTTTAGAGGGAATAATATTACTGATCTTGAGGATTATATATATTCTTATTTAAATCAATTTTATTTGTAATTTGTAGTAAAATTATGGAATCCATACTATGGAATTATGTCTGTGAATTTTTTTGAGATTTTCAATTACGTTATTTATGTTTTGATGTGATTATTTAGGGTGTTTAGTTCCAGGTTCCAATTTTCATTTCTGGAATAAAAAGCAAAATATTAAGATTTATGTAAAAAGCATCATCTTAAAGCAAGCTTTTCAATTTCTTTAAAAATCTGCCTATAACCTGATTTTATGTTATGTCTGTTATGTTATGTCTTCATTGTTAACAGTTATTCATCATTATTTGTCATTACTTGCAATACCAAAGTAATTCTTCCAAAACGTATGTCTTCCAATTAGCTAAATATACATGTTTACTAAATGATATGGGTAACTGTTAATGAAGCAACAGTTTACAGCGCATAGTAAAATCATAGCTTTTCCAACGTATAATATTTTTGAGTTTGAAATTATTTCTATGCAACAGTAGCTAAAAATGATCTTATCTTTTTCACTTACTACGAAATGCTCCCGAGTTATTAGAGTGGTGTGGCCATGAACCACCTCCACTTGGGGAGAAACCTGTTATTGAATCAAAAATAGAGAAAGGAGCTTAGAGAACTGGTACCTTCAGCATTCCTCTCCATTAATACATGTTTCAGTTTATTCCTGGGTGTCTATATTTGTATATGTGCGTATATATAATATGTGTATGTGTGTACAGAAAATCAATCTTTCATTTTAAGAACATTTTCATTATGTATATTGATAAGTGATTGTCACTGACAGGACTGTTTGCAAAGTCAGTGATAACACGTGGCATCTTACCAAGTGATTAATTTCTCTTGGCTCAAATCACTAGTTTAGTACACAAAGTAGTTACTCATGCTCAAAAACACATCATCAGTAAATAGTTTTGGGATTTATCTCTTTTTAGACTTGAACTGTTCCACTCAGACTAAAATGGATGGATTATTTCCAGTAAACACAAAAATGAAAACCTTTTAAAAAGTCTTGTAGTCTTAATCTTTTAAAGCAAATTAAGTCCTTTAAAAGGATGTCTTAGTTCTTTCCATTTGTCAGTAATGTATTACTTTAAATTTATCATTTTGCTTCACCTTATTTTTTTTTGAAAATGATGCTTAGTCCATCAAATTAGATCACTTTAGTTTGATTTATAATGCTGTGTTGAAAATGTGTGCAAGTCAAACTTTGCAAGCATTTTAAGCTGCTTTCTTTTCAAATTAACCATTTATTGTATGTAGCAAAGACACTAACATTATAAGTTACTACCTTTTATCTCAAGATAGATGAAATGAGTAATTCCATACATTATAATTATTTAACTTTTAAACCATGTAAAGTATATGACCTTTAGCATTGTTGCAGTATACTTCAGTCTTTCAGCAAACATTTATTCATTTCAAACTAGATGTTAGGCATTTTGCCAGGTCTTGAAGATGCATACATGAGAAAGACAGTCATCCTTCCCTCACAAAGCTCAGAAATTGATAGAGATGGAAAAGGTGGTGGTAGTGGGAAAAGTGGACTTTATTATTTAACCTTTATTCTATGCCTACAATATGGGAACTTCATATTATTTTAATTAACTCTCACAAAACCCCATAAGGTATTTATTATTATTCCATGTTACAGAAGGGGAAACAGTCTCAGAGATAGCAAGTTGCCCAAGATCATAAAGCTGATAAGTGGCTGAGTTGTGATGCAGACCTTTCATACTCCATGTTTATTTTTGTTTATACTATCAGAAACTTCTTGCATGCCAAGCATAATGAAGATATAAAAATAGGTAATCTATGGTCCCTGCCCTCAAAGAGTTCTAATTTTTATGAGAGCAACTCATACTCTAAAAAAAAGCCACAACTGTATCCTTTTAGTCTGTGTCTGTTTATACCCATCTTACCACACTTTTGGTCAAAACCATTCTGTGGTAATAAAAAGGTAGAGAAACCACATTTGGAAGAGGAATCCATTGGTTCATCTGCCGTTCTTTCTTAATTTTGATATGCAAGAGATTTATATCTCAAAGTCTTATAACTTATGTAACTTACTGCTATCAATTATCTTAAGTTGCTGCTTGAGGAATACTGAATTGCCCTATACAACTCCTCTCAATTAGTTTTGCCCGTTGACTATTTAAATAGAAAACTAGGGCAGAGTGTGAGAATTTTTTAAAAGGCAAGCTACTTTATTTTTAATTTTTTTAATTTTTATTTTTTTTGGTGAGGAAGATTAGCCCTGAGCTGACATCTGTTGCCATCTCTCCTCTTTTTGCTGGGGAAGGTTGGCCCTGGGCTAAAATCCGTGCCCATCTTCCTCCACTTTATATGTGGGATGCCTGTCACAGCATGGCGTGATAGGCAGTGTGTAGGTCTGTGCCCAGGATCTGAACCTGTGAACCCTGGGCCGCCAAAGCGGAGTGTGCAAACTTAACCACTACACCACTGGGCCAGTCCCAGGCTACTTTATTTTAATTTAGCTGAATTTTAAATTTCTAGGATGAAAAATTGTGGCTAGACTTAATTAATTCCAGGATGAAAATAAACATTTTTTGTTAATCTTCAAATCTGCCCTTCAAACATCATTTAAATCATTCTTGTGTTATCCTCTGCCTCTTATGCAAGGGAGCCTTAAAGATACTTCACCTTCATTATGAATGGAGAAACCTCAAAACATAAGATTTTTCATAATCCAAGAGATACAAATTTCAGATGCCACAGATCAACAAAATAAAAAGTAACCAAGTGCCAATAATACATATGTATGCAAAATATATCATTGGTATACACCTGGGGTTGGTCAGCAAAATAATCACCTAGGGATATTTTTCAAAATGCAGTTTCAATACTCCCAAGATTCTGATATGCTGTTAATGTAGGAAGAAGGTGGAGACGGGGTGGAACAGACGGTAGAAGATACTCGGCCGGGTGTCTGCATTGTGAAAAGGATCTCCAGGTGCTTTTGATAGTGCCTCTTTCCCACTCCAATCTCTTCTTTCAGAATGCTGAAAACGTTGTTTAAAACAACATTATACAAATCAAGCCAATATGTGTTTACCTGAACTATATTTAAATGCATAATCATAGTTCTGACCATTCAATAAGTGTGTACGCCAGAAATTATGAAAATTGTATGTGTTTTATTGTTAAATGGTTAGAATTATCTGGTGCTATATTATGCTTTAGAACATAAAAGTTTAGATGAGGAATGTTTTATTTTGCTGGGTGAAGTTAATATTAATCTCAAAAACAGTAATATCTGACATTTCTTGGACACTTACTGTGTCAGAGACTGTGCTGGGCACATTACCTAGGTTAATTTAATTTGTTTGCAGCAGTGATATGAGGTAGATACTGAGAAAACCGAGGCCTGGTGAGGGAGGACACAGCCTTGTGGGCAAAAGGCTGGGCTTGGCAGCAGTCCTTGTGCAAATCCCTCTGCAGAGGTTGTGCACTGAACAACCTGTCCAGAGCCTGTGATCTCTACTACTGCTCTTTCCATTTCTTGTTAATGAAGTTAGAGTCTGTGCTCTACATTTGTGATTTAACTAATTAGCTGCTGAGCACTGAGCACCTGCTATTTCAACTGAGAATTTTCTTGTCAGGTATATGTGTATGTGTGTATCTGCATATATATGCGTAATTTATATGAGTGTCCACTGTTAATATTTTTGATATAAGTAGAATTTTAATCTTATGAAGTAAATGAAAGTTAACACATTGGACACTTTTTAATTTCAGTTTATCGATGGTCGACTGGCAAAACTGAATGCGGGAAGGGGTTTCTCTGATGTATTTGAAGAGGAGATCACTTCAGGTGGCTTTTGTGGAGGTAAAGACTAGTTCCACTGTAACTATCCATTTTCTGAATAGCAGTTATCTTGATTTTTCCACTTGTGTATGATGTAATCTACTTCATAAACAACTATTTTCTCCTAAACATATAATGTCTTAGATACATTTTTTCATCTTATAAGAGCTATGGTCTTAACTTATTTTGCCAGATATCTGTTTTTCAGAGCTTTAAGAGGGTCTCATGAATTGGTAGTTGTTTGCTTGGATAATCTCTTAGTAAATATCACAGAAATGCAATTAGTTTATATCTTCCTGCTTTTCCCTCTGCCTTGTTTTCTCTGCTAGAAAACTACTAGTGGTGGCCACTACTAGGTAAGAATTAAAGAACTGGGATTATAGTTGAAAATAGTACATTGTAATATAATCCAGAGAGAAAGGTTTGAATACCGCAACTGCTTCTACATTTTTAACTAAGTGTATTATTATAGAAGTCTTGACACTTTTTGCTTTGCAGACCGCTGCACCATTAGGAAAAGACTTTTCGCTTTACCATCCCATATGCTTACACTTGTCGTTGTGGAAAGCCCTCACTTAAAGCAATGGAAGGAGTCATATTATTTTTATGTGTGAAACATCAGTTAGGTGATATCCCATTTTTATTTAGTACAATTAACTTTAATATAATTAAACAATTACATTGTTTGACATGTAAATATTCAATGTTATAATTATCTAGGCAATTAATGACTTATGAACTGATACTTTGTACATGATTGCTCTGGTATATAGTCCTGACTCTGCAGAGAATTTTGCTTGAGACCTTGAAATGCCCTATTCATTCCTTCAGCCAGCATTTGCTGAGTGTTTCCTATGTAATAGGCACTGTTCTGGTTACAGGGTGAACTAACAAACAAAAATCCTGGGGTGTTCATCTTCACCTGATATAATAGTAATTTTTTCAACTTATCTATAGGTTAAATTTGGAAAAAAAGTCTGTGTGTGACTAAATAAATGCTAGAATTGAGAAATAAAACATGAAGAGACGAATAGTAATAAGTACTCATTTACAAATTTTCCAAAATTTAATTTTATTCTTAAATAAGATTTATCTTTGCACCATAGAAATATAAAAACTTGAGATAATTCGTTTGTTAAAAGAGGTACAAATGAACTAAGCAGTTGTGGACCTTTATCTGATGTAAGCACAGCACTTTATTGAAAGCACTAGCTTTGGGGAAAACTTAGTTTACTTGACTCAGCAAGTAAGCTGAATGTGGAATCATTCAGCTCCTTGCTTTCCCCCAGCTCATGGGTAAAAATTTAGCTTCAGTGGAACTTTTGTTAAAATACTGCTTTTTACTTTTCAACTCAGACAAGCAAAATATTGTCAGCTCATGGACAAATTGCTTGAAGCATATAGTTAGTATTTACATAACTGCTGTCTCATTATCTTTATGACCCGTGGGGCTAGTATCTTATATGGAATTGAAGATGACATCTTTTGACAGTAAGGGGGTAGAACTATGATCCTTTTGTAGAGTTAAATTCTGTAGTCTTAACCATTTGTCCAGATACCTCTGTAATAGAGGGTAGGTGGCTTTTCTGGTGGGAGGATGGTCACTAAAATTTTTTCACTAAAAGTCTTATTGTTTAAGAAAGAATGGGAGAATATTGATCACCACGTAGCATCTGACTTAGAGACTCTGCATTTTCAGTACAATCTAATGAGAACCACTTTGTTCTTTCTTAAAGTGAAAAAGGTTTTGAACTCTTAAATCTTAAGTTGGGGGAGCCAGTACTGATCCGAAAGGAAAGCATAGTTCAACAAGTATTAATTTCAGGAGGTACAGTAAGAAAGTACTTTGAAAAATCATGCCTGGCTGTCAAGTGTTTTTTGTTTTTTTTTTTAAAGTATTAACTCTATTTCCAGTATTTTCTTTTTCTTTTCTTTTCCTTTTTTTGGAAGAAGATTGGCCCTTAGCTAACTTCTGTTGCCAATTTTCCTCCTTTTTTTTTTTTTTCCCTTTTTTCTCCCCAAGGGCCCAGTAGATAGTTGTATGTCATAGTTGTACATCCTTCTAGTTGCTCTGTGTGAGACACTGCCTCAGCATGGCTTGATGAGTGGTGCGTAGGTCGGTGCCCAGGATCCGAACTAGTGAACCCCATGCTGCTGAAGCGGAGTGCGTGAACCCAACCACTACGCCACAGGGCTGGCCCCTCAAGTGTTATTTTTTAATTGTTATATTTTAGGTTATTATCTTAGAGATACATACAGATTATTCTTAGAAGAAAATAAAGCAAATTCATTAGGATTTAAAATAAAAAGATAAATAATCTAATAAAAATTAGTAATGTTCTTACTAATGAGGGTATATATATATACTGTTTTGGAACCATATATAAATAGAGGTCCTAGAGGTCAGTTCCTAGAGGTCAGCTCCAAGCGTTTGTCATCTAGACTACATTTGTGAGAAAGAATATGTCTATGTCATGATGTTGAACTGTTCTTCAAGGAAGTAAACTGTTATAACTGTCATTTCTCTCATAGTAATAATTATTATAGTTGTTCATACTTATTGAATATACGTGTGTAGCGGAAGCACTTGTAAGACCTCTACAGATATTATCTCATTTAATCCTCACAGCACCCTATGAGGTACTTTGATTACCCCCGCTTGTATGAGGGCGTTCATCTCAATAATTTGCTCAAGGTCACACAGCTGGTGGTGGCGGAGTCTGAACTCAATATGTGTCTGCCTGCCTTCAAAGCTCTGGCTTTAATAAGTATAATATATTGCTTTCCTGTGATAAGAGATCTTCTTAATTAGAAGACATTCAGTAAACAAGATCGGTACTCAAGCCCCCTCTACTCTGATTGGATAAAAGCAAAATTCCTGTCTCTTTTGAATATCTTTTGAAGATTTTTTACACATAAAACCCTCAGAAAGATCACTGTAGGAGAAATCAACATTCACTGATACTGAAGAAAAAATTGTGTTCCTTTAAGCAAAAATAATAAGGAAATTTCAGAGAAGCATCTAATTTCTCCCCTTTCTGTCATTGCAGTGGCAGTTTATATACTGTTTTTGTTGCTAATATGCATGGTTATAAAATGAATATGAATATGGTGGAGCTTTATCATTGTTGTGGCTCTGATTAAAAGTGTACAGTGCAGGACAGTCATATATACAACATCTAGATTCACAGTGAATCTAGAACTATGGTCAAAGACTCTGTGAATGCATGCAGATTTTCAAAACTGCTTTCTGTCCTGAGAGTCCCCATGGTCAGGACTATTAAGGAAATCTCTGTTACTCCTGATTCCTTTCATAAGAAAATTCAACCTTAAGGTGAGAGGAAAGCAGTGAGAATGTCAGGAAATATGTAAAGGGAAGACTAATCATAGAGGTTTAAAGGTAATGAAAGAGGACATGAGTAGGACAAAGGATGCGGTTAAACACAAATATTGGAATATGGAAAAGCAGCTAAGAACTGTTGAGTAGTTAAGAACATGTTTTTTCCCCCATTTAAAATAAAACTAGTTCTTAAATCCACAACCAATTATTTAAACTTTAAAAAGGAGACACATTTTCAGATTGATTTTTATACAGAAGTGTGTGGTTACTCTCCATCAATAGCATTTATTTCTTCATTAGTTTCCTGATGTAATCTGAGTAGTCTTATATTTATTTAATTTTCTTTCTTCTTTTACCGATTAAGGTACCAAAGGAATTTGAAGGGGTGGTAGGTAATCATCAGTTTTAGTGGCAGTTTTCTGGCCTCACTGAACAATTTAGACCAATTTACATTTTTTGATAAGTAACTGCAAATTACTGGAATTTAAACAAATACATTGGAAGAGAAAGTCTTTGCACGAGATATTTTGTCCTTGAGTGTGAGAAAATCACTTGTTTAACAAGAACAATGTTAAGAATTTCCTCAATAATGCTTATTATTTCCGTAATCCAGTTACTTTAAAAGGAGGACTCTGAAGGATTCTTGTGGCAGATTCATTTTTAAGAAGAAAAACAGCCTTTTTTAAAAAAAACATTATCAAAGAATAATGTGCTTGTCTCATAAATTTTGTGGAAATAGGAGCCTTCAATCTTAAAAGCACTAAAATTTAAAGAGACAATTAGCTTTAAAAATTTTTTTTAACAGGAATCTACCTAATTTGTACCACATGTTTCCCTATCATCTTAAGCAGTTTATTTAGGGACTTCCTATACCACAAGAGTCCAGATTAGTATTGGTGATTCTCACTATCAGCTGTTTCTTCTCAAGGTATTAGCTTTGGGCAGCTTCTTTTCTTTCTAATGTAGTTGCTTTGAAGTGATAGAGGAATCTCTATATGACTTAAGTTTCATCATATTTTATTCAGCAATCTTAAGAGGTGGCATTTCAGAGTTGAAGAATTAATGAACCAAGCATTAAAACACCTCGATTCCTACTCTTTCTCAATTGCTGTCTTTGTGAACTTGGGCAAGTAATATATCGCCTCAGAACCTCAGTTTTCTCAGTTGGCAAGTTACTGAGAATAATAGCTAACATTTACGGTGTGCTTGGATGTGCTAGGTACCATACAGTACACGTTGTGGCAGCCAGGTTAAGGACCTAGTCCCACGTCACATAGTACACGAAGGTAGAGTGGGCCTGAACGCGCAGGTCCCACTTCCTTCTCACTGAACTGCACTGCCTGTGACACTGCCTGCTTTGCCTATTTTAGAGGAGAAAAATAGAACTCACATATTTGATGTAGGTAAAAACAGTTTGTCACCTGTAAAGAGCTGAAGAGGAGCTATTTTTATTCCTCACAACTCTAAATAAGACGCTGACTTTTCTATAACTGCTGTGAAGTTTTATGATAGCTGTTTTCTTTGTGGTTCAGAGGTTTAAAAATAATTGTTTTCTGGAATGACAAGTGTTCCAGAATGCTAAATAGTTATCATATAGAAGTTGGTGTTTCTCTTTTTGCTTTCATAAGTTCATTTTGGGAAAAGAATGAAAATAAAACACTTTTCAGAATACTATGAATAATAACCAAGTCTTAAATGTGTGATTTCGCCTCAACCATTTTTAATAGAGAAGTAAAAGTATATGAACAATCTGAATAAAGACAGTTTATTTTTTTGTTAATAAAATCTCCTTGAGAAATAAGTTGATAGAATAACTTGGATTTTTTTCTTTATTTTACAAAGGAAATATAATTAAAAAAAATTTTGGTCAGGCCAAATACCCACAGAAGCTCACGCCTTTTACACAGTGCAGTTTATTTTTACATAGGCTGTTTTAGGTAGATGCATTTTGCTGTAATCATTTCACAAGATTAGAAAAAATATTTCCCCCCTATTTCTTCTTCCAGAAGAGATACAGTGTGGTGCTGAGAGACATCTTTCAGAATGAGAGTTGTTTCTTGGTATTTTAGGGAAAGACTTTAAGTACAGGAGTGAAGGCAGAGCCAGACACATTTCCCCGATGTTGGTTAGGGATGCAAAGTAACAGCTGGAAAGAAATTCTTGGGCTGGGATCGTTGTGCCTCTATTTTGTAACAGCAAGCTGATGCGTTTGTTAAAGAGCCACAACCACACAAGAGGATGACACCGTCTGCTTCAGGGATTCCTTGTACTGGATAGTCTCTGAGTAGCTGTTGGGACTTTGTTTTTTATCATGGGAATATCTAAACATTTCAACAACCAAGAAGGTAGACGAAATCTAACTAAAGTCAGTTGATATAAAACATTAGATTAGTTGTGTGGCTTTTGTTTTTTTTGCCTTTCATATCATCTTATTGACTAAATTATCATATTTGGAGCCAAATATATGATTACTAGTTTTATTAGAACTGGTTTTGTCAGCATTTGAGCTTTCTAATAACCATGATGCTCTGTGTCTAAAAGCTACATTTGCTTCATATTTCCTGGGGTAATATCTTTTAAATTTATATTTACAACTAGAGAATATTTTCAGAACTGTAACTGCAATTTAATTGCATTAAAATAAAATTTGCTGTCCATTAATGTTAATATTTAGCACCCATAGAAGATTCTTCTTTTTGTCCTCAAGGTTCTTTGCATTTCTGAATTCCCTTCTAATTTTTTTCTTTCCCTGTTCTCTTGAAATATTGTTTTAAAATGAACGTAATTGTGCAAAAGAGCCAAATTTTTACAAAACAACGTAGACATAAATATTGAAAAATCAGTTTAAAGGACATAGGAATTTTGGATTTCTAAAGAGAAGTTATATTTTCCCTTCTGAAGATAATATTAAAATGAAAGAACCTAGAATACTTTAACATATTAGCTTCAAATGTGAGTAAAGAAATCCGTTCTTAAAAATGCGAATTACTGTGTTCCTAAGAATTAAAGCAATTTATTCTTACGATGTGATTGCTTCTTTCACAACATTGCAAATAAATAAAACTTGTTTGCTAAATTCCTGGAAATACTAGGTCTTGATGAATTTTGGTTTATTTTTGATCAAACATTTCTGACGTCTTATTTTCATGTATTCCAGGGAACCCGAGGTCATATCAACAGTGGGTGCATACAGTCAAGGTAATAATAAGCCTTCAAAGTTTCTTCATTTTTCTTGCATTCTAATATATATGGAGAAATGTTCAGTTCAAGTATACTGTTTATACTCATGCTGTTTATTGACAATATTTTAAATGTTTGTATATTTTCTTACATTTTAAATGTTTATTTTATATTTATAGTTTGTTGATATTCATAAAGAAAATTGTAAAATGGAAAACTTTTTTTTTTTTTTTTGCTATTTACTATTTTAATGTTACTATTTTTAAACTTTTAAATTTTGAAATAAATGTACATTCACAGGAACTTTCAGGAAAATGTACAAGGGCTCGTGTATCTTTCACCCAGTTTAAAATGGAAAACTTTTATCCAGAGATAAATGGCTTGTTTTGAAAAGCAAGATTTCACTGTCACCTTATATTATATTCTAGAACAAGGAATTAGGTGGAGTGGTAGCATTTGATGGGAGTTTTATCATTTCTGGTAATGTGCTTTTGTTAATATGATTTTCTTAATATAAAACACTCTTCCACAGATTGAGACTTTATTGCCCAACGTTAAAAGAGTTGATAAACAGTTGATTATTTCATTTTTATTCAGCTTTAAATATATACCTGTTACTGGTCATATTGCCCAAGTCTGCCTAAACTGCAAAGGTGAAAGGATTTTTAAATGATGTATTACACCAACTAAAAGAACAGAGTACCATTTTGTGTGAAATTTACTATAGTATATAAAAGCTTGAAAACACTAAGCATAAAATAATTTTTGTAGGACTTTGTTTAACTTGTGAGGAAAGCTCTTTTTCTATACTATTAATAATGCTTTGTTTTCAGGACAGTCTGGTCAAAAATTTTTGATATTACGTGTCTGGTTTTTTTTTTGCAGAAAGGAGGTGCACTATTCAACACCGCAATGACCAAAGCAACTCCTGCTGTTCGGACAGCATATAAATTTGTAAGTTTTCTTTTGATATTTAAAAATTCTATTAATAAAACTTTATGTTTTCCTAGATGATAGACATGGAGATGTAGAATATTTTCTATTTTTCTTTTCTTTTCGTTTCTTTTTTTTGTGAGGAAGATCAGACCTGAGCTAACATCCGTGCCAATCCTCCTGTTTCTGCTGAGGAAGACCGGCTCTGAGCTAACATCTATTGCCAGTCCTCCTCCTTTTTTCCCCCAAAGCCCCAGTAGATAGTTGTATGTCATAGCTGCACATCCTTCTAGTTGCTGTATGTGGGACGCCTCCTCGGCATGGCCGGAGAAGCAGTGTGTTGGTGTGTGCCCAGGATCTGAACCCGGGCCACCAGTAGTGGAGCACACACACTTAACTGCTAGGCCACGGGGCCGGCCCCTTCTATTTTTCTTTTAAATAAGCTTTTTAAAAAAATTTAGAGTTAATATTGACCCAATTCAGTTATTAAAACTGTATCCTTGTATAGAGAGGATGTTTCCTTTATATGATCTAAAAACAGTTCTTCATTTTATTTCAAAGCTATCAGCAAAAATTGTGCACTCAGATTGAAACAGTCCATGACGAAGTGCCATTTTTAAAGATTTGATTATTTCATTTAAGACCATATTTTAAAGTTTCATTTTGTACTTGAGGCTCAAGCAGAAAAAATAGAAAAATATGGCGAGTTCTCTTCCCTCAAAGGTGCTTTGACTCTCCATGATTAAAATTCTTCAGTGATTCTTCATGGCTTATAGTAAAATAATAATAACAATACCAATACCAATGACAATAAATAAATAATTAATAAAATAAAAATCGCTTTAATGTGACAACTGAGACCCTTCAAGACCTGCCCCTCCTGTGTCCTGATTCATTTCCCCCGTCCCCTGAGCCTGCCTGTCTCTAAAGATACTGAGTGCTCCTCATTTCATGAGTTCAGGACGTTCTCTTCTGCCTCTCTATCCTTACACAAGCTGTTCCTGCTACTTGGAACTTCTATTTCTTGGCTTTTATCTGTCTAGTAAACACCAATTCATCCTATAAGACTTAGTTTAGACATCAGTTCCCCTGAGAAAATTCTCCCAATCCCACACAAAAAGAGTTAATATACCTTCTTCTGTGTTCCCATAGGACCATAGACATGCCTGTTTCAGCCCTTGTTTTGTCTGTGTACATCTGTATCTCTAATGTCAGATTAGTAGCTTCTCGAGGGAGGAGCTAATGAGTTGGTATTCAGTAAGGTTTTTTTCAACTTAGTAGGTCATATATATTCTATATTTCTAAAAATATTCAGGGCGGTAGTTTTGACTTTATAAGAGTTTATCTTCAAATGCTTTCTCAGAAATGAATTGATATGATTGAATTAATAATAGAATAATATATTTTAATATGTTTAGAAATATGTTCTTTTCTTGACTTACAATTTTCATATGTATGGAGCCACCATTTCTGTTTTATTTATTTTTTCCCCCAAAGCCCCAGTAGACAGTTGTATGTCATAGTTGTACATCCTTCTAGTTGCTGTATGTGGGACGCAGCCTCAGCATGGCCGGAGAAGTGGTGCCTCGGTGCGCTCCCGGGATCCGAACCCGGGCCGCCAGCAGCTAAGCCACGGGGCCGGCCCCACCATTTCTGTTTAAAAAATCTTGTTTCAAGATTGCATTTTATAGTAGGGAAGGTAATCTACAGAGTGGATTAAAAAATACAGTGCCGTGGGGCCGGCCCAGTGGCGCAAGTGGTTAAATGTGTGCGCTCTGCTGCGGCTGCCTGGGATTCGCCGGTTCGGAACCCTGGGCGCATACTGAAGCACCGCTTGTCAGGCCACGCTGTGGCGACGTCCCATATAAAGTGGAGGAAGATGGGCATGGATGTTAGCTCAGCAAAAAAGAGGAGGATTGGCAGATGTTAGCTCAGGGCCTATCTTCCTCACCAAAAAAAAACACAGTGCCAAAATTCTGAACTTTTGGAGCCTTCTCATAAAGTAAAAGTTAGGAGAGGCAATCATTTTGCCTTGGAAACATCAGCCTCTGCCTTTTGGTTGTTCCATGGCTTTGCTAGGAACCTCCCTGAGTAGACCACTATCTCCCTGTAATACTGCTGGTTTGATTTATATACGGTTTTTGAGGAGATTTTAATTTTTCACAATGAAATAGCACATAGCTGCCATGTGAAAATCAAACTAACATTGAGCCTTGTTCCTCACGTTCAAGATTCTAAAAAAGGTTTCACAGTCAAGTGCCCTTCATTTTGTTCCTTGAGCAAGTACTTGAAGTTTTCCTTCAAGCTTAGAAAAGTTCTGTTATATTGTTTTGCTAAATGTGTGTTTTTCTCCTTAATTTCACTCATATCGTCCATAGAAGCACAGAAATAAAGCAAACGTGTTTAAAACCTCACTAGTTATTTAAATTTTTATCCTTTAAATCTGTAGAGTATTTTATGTTGAACCCTTCTCTGCAGAGCAGTAAAATGTTTCCACATGAAAAATTCTGCTCCTTGGAAGATTATTCCCTCAATTAATTTCAGGCAAATTAAGGTCTTCAGAATATACTTAATCACTTTTATCATTTATCTTGTGATCATGTCGTACATGAATCAAGACATTGGGGGCAAGTAGAAAAGTCAGTTTGTGACCTTCATAGTTATACCTAGAACCCCTCTTTCTAGATTGCTCATATTCTGAAATTCCTCCTTTGACCACAAATTGCTATGAACAAAACACCTAATTTTTCTTGTGTGGGTATAACAGAATTTATTAACCTTGATTTTCTATAGATAGTAAATTTTTTAAAACTAGGAACCATGTTTTTAACTGTTTCATTCATTCAACAAATTATTTGAGTACCGCTCCTGAGCTAGCCTTGTATGGTTGTTCCATTAGAGCAATGAGCACGGCAGGTGCTGTGCGTAAGACAGTTGCTGGCCCTGCTTTTATATTTGTGTCGCTGTCATTTTGCTTTGTTCTTTGGACATGCTACAGAAGTATTGAGTATGTATTTGTTGAGGAAATAATGATTTTGTCTTATATTTAGAATATTTTTTCTATGCTTTCTATGCCAGTGTTTTCCTATGCTTATAGGAGCTGTAAAGAAAACTAGAGTTGACATACATACTCTTATAAATCTAAAAATAACAGCAGTGTGAACAGATATGTGATTTGGCTAACAGATTTTCTAAGTCAACTTTCTTGTTAGGTCTTTGCATTTTAAATTATTAGCCAAAGCCAAAAGCAAATAATTGCTTTTCTGTAGAGAATACTTATTTATTGGTAAGTTTCAGCTTGGTAAATTGAAAAGGACAGAAAGAACCTGTACCCTATCTTCCAGACACTCTGAAAGAGGTCAATGGAGGAGGTAGGGCAGCAGACATTTAAATGAGTCAGTACGTGAATTACAGAACCATGACTGACACTAGGGTCAACTGTATACACTAAAGAGCATCTGAAAAGATAAGTGTGAATCAGGTGGCTTTTGAAAGAATAGAGGACGTTTAGGTAAACTAGAATATAGTCCAAATATGAATAAAGATGGGTACAAATTCTTGGAGATGGGAACAGGAACTTATTTTTGGTAATTATGCATTTTTACTTAATAGGAATGTAGGGATTAATATAAGATCCTTTAAATAGATTCAATGGCTTTACCACTAAAATAATGAATGTGAAAATGCTTTATTGATTCTAAAGAACCGTGGAAATATAGGCTAGTATTATTTGGCTTTTTTGGTTATCTTTTACTGGATCTAATATGTTTTGGTTTTGCCTCATTTACAATAAGGAAATAATTGTTTAATTCAGTTCAAAACATTTCTTGAGCAGTTACTACATGCCAAATACTCTACTGGGCGTTGCAGATATTAACAGGAAGGAAATAAGATCCTTCCCCTCAGTGAATGTGGGAAGACGTGTGTTTACTCTTCCTAGAAGTGACTTGAGAAAGCGGGATGGTGTGATAAATGGAGCAAGGACTTTGCAGTTGGAAAGTCTTCAGTCCACATGACCTTAGTTTCCAAGTCTGTAGAATGAGACTCATAATGCCTTTTCTTTCCCGAGACTTAGATTCAGCGGATGTATTTTTAAAACCTTAGTTCCTCCTTCTCCTTTGAGATGGGAAGAAGTTGGACTTAGGAATTAAATGACCCTCTGAGTCACTTCCCTTATTTGTAAAATGTCATAACGATAGTACAAATTTCACGGAGTCCTTGTGATGATTAAATGAGATAATGCATGCTAGGTACCCAGCACACAGTCACATACTGAGGGAACACAAAGTAAATGTGAATTTCTTTTCTCTTCGTTTCACTCTGGCCACCGTGAGTGGGAATTTCCAGTGGAACAGAGGCTAAGGCTGTTGTGAAAGCCCCCAGTTGCCTTTAGTTAAATTATACCCCACAGGGATCACAGCACGACCTGAGAGGCTCGAGTGCTGGAGCCAGACTCCCTATGGAACATGAGGATAGCCTTTAAATTGTTAAATCACTTTTAATTTTTGCCAGAAAAACTGTATATGAAATAGCCATAACAGTAGGGTAGCTCTGCTAGTAACAACTTGTGTCTGCCTGTAAAAGCACTTTGTTATAGTTTTGTGAAGTTGCCTGATTTTTTTCAATCCAAACATTTGCCCAGATAACCTGCTGCTGTGATGTGCTTTCTCTTTCTCTGCCCCAGTTAGTCACGATTTCAAATTAAGACTGGGCATTAGTAATCTGGTTGACTCTTTTGTATTTCTTATAGTTTCGAAGGCAAGATAGGCTGAATGTTAGCCTTTGTATGATATTTGTATGCAAATAGAGACTAATCATGCTTTCACCAACTTATTTAGGTCTAATAAGTGGTATTGTGTCCCTGAAAATAGTTTTAGATTATAATTTTTTTTCTAAATAATATGAGTAGTTAGCAATTTTCGTTAAATGAGATCTCATGTTCTTATTCTTTAAGTGGTAATAGAACTATACAGATACTTATATTATTTTCTAGGCAAAAAACCACGCAAAGCAGGGAATCAAGGAAGTGAAGAGTAAGCTCAAACACAAGGTGCGTCGGCTTCTCCTTCTACCTTGACTTGCGTTAATGTGAAGCTTATACTTTACGAATCACAAGAGATTTATGTTTTTAATGACTTTTGAAATATGCTTAGTCCTTTGTTCACGAATGTATTTTTCATAAGAAGCCCTCTGGCAACTACCTGCCGTTGTATATGCATCCACTGAATAATCTCTTTATTGTTTGCGTATTTTATCACAGAACGACGGAGATCTTCAAAGATGCTTTAACAGGATGTATGTTTTCATAAAGTTGATTGCTTTGATATCACAATTGAAATTCTTGCTTCAAGCTGAGAAAGTTTTTAAAAAGATCATCTTTGGTGCCAAATTAAATCAGGAATGCCATCATTTGGTTTTATAGGATGTTTCCAATAGTAGCTACTTTAAATTGAAGCATGTTCTTAATTTACAAAAGATTGCATTTTGAAGATGTGTATTTGAATTTTTGAATATTGCATATATATGAATATTTATGTGTATGTATGTATATGTGTGTGTTTGATTTGATTACATATCACATCTTTGCAGATTTTATCAGTTGTTATATTTTGAATTTCTACCTTTGGAGAAAAAGTACTACTTAAAACTTCCATTGTAGTGATGGAGAGTAAATGATCTTCATATAAATTTTATTCGAATTATTCAAAATAGTCACATTATTTTGGAAATTATTAATTCATAATATAGAAAAATGCATTTTCTTCCTGAATAGGTTCTTTAAACTTTTACCTGAAGTGTTATTTTGTTATTGCATCTGTATCAGATACTTTGTCTATTAATCAAATAACTTTAGTAATACAAGCAGTATTTTAAAATAATTACTTGTATATTTCTTCATGTGTAGGAAAACGAGGAAGATTATGGGACCTGTTCTGGTTCTGTACAATATACACCAGTTTACACATTATACAGTGAAAAGGGAAGAAACCTAGAAAAGCGTAAGCTTGCCCAGGTAAGGTTCTTTACCCTCGTGTCTCCAAATTCTAAAATTATGTGATTCCAGTGAATTCTTTAGGAACAGCTTTGGACCCATTAATTTGTATCATATGATAACAAAACCTGCAGTTATGGTCAAGGAGATGAATAGGTGGCGTTGGGGAAGGCTATAAGGGCCAATCCCCTTGGGGATTGTCAGTCTCTGCATACTTTATCACAGAGCTCGTACTCCGGGAGGGGGAGAGAGAGACAGGTGATTGCCATGGAGTGTGAGTAGTTTGGTGATGAGTGGGAAGTCACAGATTTCCTTGACTACAAAAATAAAATGAAACTGTACGTGAGAATTTGACCATTAAAATCATCTATAGAAATTAGAATATGAAATAATTTGTCTATCTTTTTCTAAAGTTAGATATTTTATTTGCTATAAGTATTTAGAGTTTCTGCTTATATCCAGATGCTGCTTAAAATATTGTCCTAAAGTGAGAAAGTGTTCAGAATCATAGCTATATGTGTTTCTGATTTTGCATCAGAAATATTTTCCTAATGGTTTTAACAAAGCAAAATTTGTATACACCAAGTCATATTTTAAGAGGCCTGAGAAAACTAGCTCTTAAAAAGAATTTTGAGTGGCTTATAGTTACAAAATTATAGAACTGCAAGCAGCTGCAAAGCTTCATTTATTACAGTCACCAAAGTTTACTGATGAGGAAATTGATAGCCAGAATGATCGTGTCGCTTGTCTTCAGTCTCATAACCAGTTAGTGGCAGAGCGGGACGAGAACACATCTCTAATGCTCAGTTGGCTTTCCTGGATGTGTAGACACTGCAGGAGTAGAGATGACCCTAAAGTATTTCCATGTGTCTTTAGGAATGGGGAGAGAGCCAGTGAGGCTATACTAAAACCCTAGCCTTTCTAAAGAAAACCCATTAATTCAATCATTCAGCACCTACTATGCACCAGGTACTATTCTAGGTCTTCTAGGAAAAACAAAGAAAATCTCTGCCTTCATGGACTGTTTTTACAACACACTAAGTCCCTTCTCTATGATTTGTCCATTTGTTAAGCTTATATTTTCATATGTTAGTATTGTTTAATTGCAGCATATTGGTGTGAATGCTTCAATGTATGACCTAAAATAAGCTTTTCAAGAAAATAATTATTCTGCAAATGTAGAAACCTTTTCTGGTTACTAAAGTTAACTGGAAAACAGTTATTAACTTGTAAACTAATGGTGGATTTGCAATTGATTTCTCAGTTTTTCTCCCATCAGTAGAATGTTCAATTCATGTCTATTTGTTCTCAAGCTTTAACACCTTAAAAACTTTTGAACAATGTTTACAGCCTTAATATTGGAACATTTAGGTTATATTTACCATGGTGAATAGATTTTTATGTGAAAACGTGGGATCTTTGTTACCTATTGGATGCTTTAAGATGAAAAGAAAATACTTAAATTGGAGATACACATATTCTAAATGTCAGTTTTAGTTAACAAAACTATTTTCAGCTCCTCATATTTATATTTTTAAATCTTCCTTTCTTTTAACATGACATAGTATTTATATGATAATTTAATTATAAAATATATTACTGATTTCTGTTTTTGTTTGTTTTCTTGTTAATTCCTAGAGACACAATATCTGATAGAGAAAATTGTATTAGGTTATAGAAAACCTTACAGTAGGATAGTAGCTAACATTCATTGCATACTTATCTTGAATCCTTATGGCTATCATTTATTATAATATCATTAATTCAATTATTTGCGTTCATTAATTAGCATTTTGTGGTTTTCAGGTGGACATGACAAATGATGACTCTAATAAGAATTAAGAGAAGTAGAGCTTATTCTTTTAAGAATTATAATATGATTTTCCTACTTGGTGTATAGGAATTTGTTAAACCAATATATGTAGATTTATTATGTAGATGCTGATAATGTCTGAATAACAGTCTTTACTTTTCAAGTGATAAATATCTGAGTTTCAGTCGTAGTATATGTTTCTTTGTATACATGTGTCTCATTATATAAATAGGTGTATACATCTGTGTATATGTATTTTAACAGCTAAATTTTTCAAGAGTTCATATTTCCAATCATTTGTGACCCAATAATATCATAATTTAATGTTTTGCTTTTGCTTGTATTTTTTGTATAATTGAAATTTGATTGTTTAGTTTTAGATTCACATATACACTTAGAAAAGAGGTAAATTTTTGGCCCTTTGGCAATTTTTTTCTTTGCTACACTCCACCTTTATTTTTGTTTTTCCTGAAGCTAGCAGAATACATGTTTTCTTGCAGTAGTAACTTTCCTTCTTTGAGCTGATGGTTCCAGTGCTCTGAAGTGATAGCCGACTTGTGGTCAGCAGCTTGTTTATAAAAGGAGACCATGGTGCCTTCAAGTTGAAATTGTCGTCTAATCCCTGATTTGAATTATTTCATTAATTTCGTAGTGTTGGCAAACACGCACAAATGAAATAAGACAATACCAGGGCCTTTGTTATAAGGATATAGGTGTTCCAAGTGCGGGAATGTATGTGGCTTCTGGTAGGGTTGGAACTAGAAGATGGAAAAAGCCGTCAAGGAAGAAGACCACCCCTCTGCCCCATCTTTTCTCTGTCTCTCTCCCCTGGCCTGTTCTTCTCTCTGTGTGTTTGTTCATGTGCATTCTGCCAACTGGCCCCTCAGCTTCTCTGTGCCCCTGACACTCAGCTTGCAGGCCCGCAGTGCAAACAGCTGCTAGAAATGGACCGCAATTCCCAAGTCCAGTTTCTTGCGGAAGAATGTAATCAGGTCACTTGGATCAGGCATTAATCCTAGGTTCACTCAACTCCAACCAGAGGCAGGGAGAGTACCATGTTACCAAGGACACTGGGGGATAGTAGGGGTCAACAGGGAAAGCAAGTCTCAGAGAAGGGCTTTTAAGGACTGTGACAATATCACTAAAGATTTCTACTATTTCTAATTGCTTTATAATGCTGTTTGGCAAAAAGTCATCATTGCCAAAAAAAAAAAAATTTCTATATTTTTAAGTACTTAGAGGCTAGATCTTTGTACCACAAATCTGAAGCTTGGCAAGTTTAAGGTCAGCCTCTCCTAATGGGTTGCTGTTGCCTCTGTTCTCACATGAGAGTTGAGCCACTTAAACAAATAAACAAAAAGACTACAGCAAAGGTAAGCTTTTGTGTTTGGGGCAGAGAACTCAAGAGGGAACAGGCATAGTCTACTGCCTTTTCTTTGTGGTCTGATATCGCAGAGGCTTCCTTGGTTCGCTTTTTGGAGATAATCCAATCTCATTGATTTAATCGAAATAGGATCCAGTATATTGTGGAAGAAACAGAAAGCTGATGCTAGAACCACAAACATATTGTTTTGTAATGATTTCCAAATCAGTAAGTTCTCTTACTCCTAGCTCTCCAAGTATAATAATATTAGGATCTGAACACATTAAGATTTTCAATTAAATATATAAGCATTTCTAGGAATAGTTAGATGTGATTAAAGGCAGATTCTAGATATCAATAAATATATCAGAGACACTAATGTTTATTTTTATATTCATTTATATTCTACCTATTTCCAAAGATAAATTGATACCTTACAAAGAATCATAGACTAAAAGATTAAAATTCATTTAATTTAGATAAGATTCAAGGCAGAGAGAAAGTAAATGTAGTGAGAAGCTAAGGCCCATTCCATTGCTTAGTAGCCAAAATGAAGAGAAAAACACAGCTACCATGATTCGTAAATCATAAAGATTAAAAAAAAAGTTCAGCTGGTGCACAATCGTCCCAGGAAATGGGGCTGGATACTGTGGATCCACAAATGAATTCAGTGTCCCGAGAGCTCCCGGTCTGGTGCAAGTTCCTGGTAAAGGAAAGGGTCACATTTCAGGAGACAGACATTTGGTTTTCCTTATTTGGTCTCTTCTGTGCAGTCTCTATTATGTGAAATGCTCAGGTCATTAATACCTCTCTCGAAGACAGCTTAGTTTCTTAGCTGTTGCCATAACTTTCACATGAGAGTTGAACTGCTTTAAAAAAATAAAGGCCACAAGCAGAAACAAACATAGAATACACCCTTTTCTCTTCTGTAAGGCTCATTGAGCCAGGAGAGTGGTGTCACTGTCTCATGTTGGCATTGGCCTTTCAGTAAGGAAGCATGCTCTGTGCCCCATCTCAGATTTGATTATTCAGATAACCAGATTCTCTTAAAAGACTTGCCATGTGGTAAATTCAGTTACCTAAAAGCAAGATTCTTTAGGTACCTATGGGATTTGGTGATCCAGATGTTTCGATGTTCTTACTACTATTTTCTAAACCTCAATTTTTGTAGAGTTGAAATATTACCAGAGTAGAGTAGAGCAGCCTTGGAAAACATGAGGAAGAAAGACAGTTCCTTGCTTAACAGTGAGGCTGTCTGTAAGTTTGTGTTTATTACATGATTAATTTAAAATTCCTGACAATCCAAGCAGAGTGGGAGCTATTATCCCCATTTTTCAGATTTAGAAACAGGGGAGCAGAGGGATTAAGAAATGTTCCCAAAGTTCTACAGGTAATAAACAGCTGAGTAGGGATTGAAAAGTAAACAGATTGATTCTGGAGCTTAAGTACCTAACCACTACTGTCATGACTTTGCGTTGAGTGAGTGCTTGTGGAGGAGAGGCAGTTAGAGACAAGTTTAGACCCAGAAAGACTTGACTTGAAAAAGGTACTAGCATTTAGCATTGAGCAAAACACAACATCCCTAAGCCTTACTTTCTACATTTGTAAAATGTTAATAACAATACGTGTCATTTTCCTAGGATGCTGTAGGCATTATAGGTAATGTATATACAGTATCTGCCACATAATAGGCACTCAGAAATTGGCGGCTATCCATTTATATGTATACACATATCTTGAGCTTCAGGTCTTCTATAGCAATGGCACCATCTGACTTTTTTCTCTCTTGGTAGTTACTTTCCAGGGTCACTAACAATCCGCTAGTCACCAGGGCAGTGGGGACCC